GTACCCCGCACCGCCCCGCCACAGAGCCCGTTCGCGCCGCCCCCGCTCTCGCGCCGCTGCGCCAACAGATGCTGCGACGCGTGCAACGACGATGGCGCCGCCGTCTCCGCCGCTGCGTCGATGATCTCCGCGACGCCAAAGTCGCCGATCGCCACCTCCTTCGTGCGGTGATCGAGGAATATGTTGTGCGTCTTGAGGTCGCGGTGCACGATGCCCTGGGCGTGCAGGTGCTGCATCCCCAGGCATATACTCGCAAACCACATCATCACGCGCTCGAGCGGCAGGTACTCGTCCTTCTCCCGCTGCCGCGCGATGAGCGCGTCGAGGTCACCGCCGTCGTAGTAGTCCATCACAATGCAGAGGCTGTCTTCGTTGAAGAGAAAGGCATCTCGCTGCGTGACGATGAAGGGATGGTGGAGGCGGCTCATCACGCGTATCTCTTGCGCCGCCTCCTGCCGCTGCTGCTCGCTAAGGCCGGTGAGGGGGATGCGCTTCATAACAAAGACGCCGTTGTCCAGTGCGCGGCGCACTTTGAAGACGACGCCGAAACTCCCCGTCGCCATCTTCTCCACGATGTGGTACTCATTCATTGGGCTTGCTGATGCTGATGCTGGTGGTGGTGCGTGCGTGCCTCAGGGGAAGATAATGGTACTACGGCAGCGGGGCCCTGAAGCCGCGACGCATACACGCAGTGGTGCACCACCTTTGGCGAGCCGCTGCCTCCCCTGCGGGAATGTTCGACGCTCGCCTCGCTGTGCGCCCGCTGCCCAAAGCCTCCTCACGACCCCAGCGGTGGAACGTTGCCGCCGAGAGCACGCGCACAATCCACTAGGACAAAATAGAGAGAGAGAGAGAGAGAGACAGAGAAAGAGAGAAACACCGTAACCCAAAGAGGGAGCAGCGTTTACTTGTGTGGTGCAGGTGAGTAAAAGCCGAGGCAGCAAAACAGCTGCAGCCGCGCGTCTCACCCGCAACGGGGAGAAGTCCTCACTCCACACCCATCCAAAGCCCCGATAGAGTCCAGCGGCAAAAAGCCACACCACCATCCCCATCCCCCCTCTCTCTCTCTCGCTCTGATAAATAAAGACACAAACGCACTCTATACGGCGAATAATAATAATAATAACAATAAAAATAAAACTAATGATCAGAGTAACAAACGATTAAACAAACAAACCACAATCTGACTCTGACGCCGCGCGTCGCAAGATCACGGTGCCGTGCCAAGACCGAGACGCTGTCTCTCTCTGTGGAGTGCCAGGCGGTAACAGTAGTGCAGCTGAGCGTCCTCGACAACGGCAGACGTCTCGCGGTACGGCAGCGCCATTGTGCGTACATCATGGAGGAAGGCGGCGTGGTACCACTTCTCGTCACCACTGGCCGTCGTCTCCACCTTTTCTCCGTCTTCGCCTGGCCACTTTGCTCCCCACTGGCGCAGGGCCTGGAAGCTCTGCAACTCCGACTCCCGCGAGAAGACACGCAACGGGCACAGTGTCACGTCGGCTCTGCTGCAGCAACTGCCGTCGTCCTCCGCCTCCACCGCCAGCGGCAGCCACGAGGAGGAGGCGAGGGCACAACTGCTGTGCAGCGGCGGTAGCATCATCATCATCATCATGAGAGGTGGTGGCTGAAAATTTTCCTCACAGCGTCGCTTCTTCATGCCGCTCTCGCGGCATGTCGGCGGTGGCTCCACGCAGTGTGCAGCCAGCACAACAGACGGAATGAAGAGAGCGGCCACCGCGAGGTCGCGACACGGCGCCGCAGCGAAAGAGCCCCCCAAACGCTGCCACGCCGCCACACGCTGCCGACGGCTGCGACGCCTCAGTCCGCACAGACCACACACTTTCTGCAGCTCCTCTTCGGCAATGTTGCGCAGCGTCAACGTCTGCCGCACGTGCCGTCCCTCAGGGAATCGCAACTCTCCGGCGTGCGCTATGCTTTGTGGCATCAGTGACACGGGTGATAACTGCTGGAGTGCGTTCTGTGCACCCACGCAGTAGCCATAGCTCCTCCGCTGCAGCTGCCGTTGCTCTGCGGTCCCCTCTTCTCTTCGCCTGCGCAGAAGGTGGGGGACTACAATACTGGGCAACTCCAGGCACTTGTGTGTGTCTGCGGCCGCACCATCAACATGCGCGTCACCCCCTTCCACCACAACAGAAGAAGGACGCGGTGATGGTGAAGGCGGCGGCACTATTGCGGCGTCCTGTAGCCGAGTCGTGTCGTGAAACAAACGTTGTGCTATGCCTTCCTGCGCGTGCAACGCATGCCGTGGGTCATTCCATACCACAGCGACGTCGACCGGCGAAGGCTTAATCAGCAGCCGAAGGAACAGCTGCTGCACGCGCATTCGCACTCGCTGCTCTCGGTATGGCACCACAGTAGAGTCGAACTGGCACGGCGCCACACTATCAGCGTAGGACGACACACACGGCGCCTCCAGCAGACCTGCCGTCAGCAGCGGCAGCACCTGTGAATGCGACGGAATGGACAACTCGAGCTCTGACGTCGCTCCCTGCACAGCAGCGACCCACGCAGCACGGTACTTCGCCAGCATTTCATCCCATGTCGCGGCCACAGCTTTACCTGCAAGCGCCTGCAGTAGCCACTCAGCCCGGCGCAGTCGCTGCCATCTCTGCCGACGCGGCAACGCCAATGCCAGGGGCAGCGGCAACTCATCATGTTGAAGAGACAGTGGCAGCAGCGGCGGTGCCGTCCTCTCTGTGGGCAAACACGGGCGAGGCCCTTCCAGAGGCTCCATGACGGCCCCCGCGGTTTCTGTTGCCGCTGGGGGGATAGGGGCCGCGCTTTTACCCACCTTGCTCAGCGAGTTGTACGCCAACTCCGTTAGTCGCAGTGGTGGAATAGTGGTGACATGCCGCTCCTTTGCTGTCTGCCCCGCCGTTTCTGTCGAGCTGGGTAGTGCACGCAACGGCCTTCTTCGCCGACCCGAATCGCCCCCACCCCGCCTGCTTCTGTATGTCTGAAGGATAACTGCGTTTTCATGCCGCAGTGTGTAGACAACAGCGAGGGGCGTCGCACGGCGATTACTCCCGTCACAGGGAGGAAACTTCAGCGGCATATCTCCCGTTCCAACACACCCTCTATTCGTATATATGAGTGTGTGTGAGTACCTAACAAGAGGGCACCGACGAAGAGAAGATGCGTGAGAAACACGAGTATGCGCTGCAGGAGCAAACGACCTGAGACACTCACAGGCACCGTCGCGCCTCCACCACGGGAAGTGTGTACACAGGGACATGCACGCGCCCCTTCACGTTTCACGAGGGCGTGGCACTGCCCCGGAAAATATCTTCCACCATCTTCTTCTTACAAGCGCTCAGGTGCTCACCAAACCGATCGCTGTGCCACTGCACCCCTACGTGCGTCGCTGCCCAGACCTCATAATCGCTTGTATCGTCACATCCCGCTCCTCCCTCTTCCTCTTCCTCTTCCTCCCCAGCCCTCTTCTTCTCATCAGCGACACCACACACACCGCCGCTTGTCGGGGGGTCGACAGCTCTAGGAGCATTTACATGGTCATTATTATGTTCTCCCCGCCGCATTGCCGCCGTCTTATCATCGACCTTCTGCGCCCGCAACAGCAGCAGTAGATCCTCCTGCAGGCGCGCAACGAGCAGCAGCTGCTGCAAGTCCCCCTTCGCCATGCACGCCGACACCTGCCGGTACTTTGCCCCGATCTCGTAGTCGCGCAGTAGAAGACGCTCGTCAAGTTTCTTTGACGCGATACGCCGCTCAAACTCGGCGGCTCCTACACCTGCTGCCTCGGACTGCAGCGTGATGCGCGGCGGAGGTGTTAGACGAACAAAGGGGCTTGTAGGAAGTGAGCGTGGGATATTGAGAGAGTCTGAATTTTCCTTCGTCTGCGGTGGCACGGGGCTGACAGCCCTGTTGTCGTCGCGTGCATGCGAGCGCCGCAGGGACTCATTTAACTGCTCCAATGAGGCCAACCGACTCGCCATGTCACGCAGCTCCCGCACAAGCGAGTGCATCTCCGGTGTGCTTCCACTGTCCCTGCCCCACAGTGGCGTGAATGACGGTGGCGGTGGGGGACGGGACGCAGTGGCTGCTGCTTCTCCCTCGACTGCGGAAGTGGACGTGGCGAGATGCGGCGTGCGCGGTGGTGGCGACACCTGATGCTGCTCGGCGGCGGCGGCGGCGGATGCCGTCACTGGTTGGATGAGGCGAATCGTTGAGGCTGGGGTGGATTCCACAATCGACGAGCCCCCCTCGGTGGGAGGGGAAGACACCCGCTCTTCCTTGGCAGCAGCTGCAGGCGGTTGAGGATGGGGAGGAATGACACCTGGATAATCGGCAATTGCAGGCACATCCAGTGCAGACGGGCTCTCAGCTTCCCCGTCCAGGTAGCGCATGATGGCTTCGACGCGTGACTCCCACTGCGCCTCATTGTTCGCGTTCATCGGCGGTGGTAAGGGCGATGGCGATGACAGAGACTGCTGCTGCTGCGGAGGCGGCGGCGGCGGCGGCGGCATGAGCACCACGACGTCTTCGACGGTGTACTGCCGCTGCGCCTCATCGGCCACCACGAGGGGGAGCGGCCACTCGTCCTCATTCTCTGCTGTGTGCTCGAGCTGCACCGCGTCTGGCGCATCGAGCTTTGTGTAGCTGACACCGCTGCGGTTCTCCACGGAAAATGAAGCACTGCCCCCACTCATAGCGACCCTGAGGGTGCGCAGCACGTTGGTCAGAAAGGCAATCTCGCCGGTGTCATCGAAGCGCATCACAGCATCGCGTTCCTGTGGGACCTTCCACACAACGTGCATATCTCGGCAGAGAATTACCTTCGCCACACGCTCGACGGGGCTGCAGCGCGAGAGCTCGCCGGTGGGCTTGTACAGGTACCAGTGGCTGCGCGACACGAGCAGGTAGCACGGCACGCCTTTCCCGCGTCGCGTGCGCCTCACCACATGGACGTAATACAGAATTACAGGAATGACCCCACCGGTGGGCGGCAGCAGCTGCAGCAGCCGGCGGAAGGCGTCGCGGGCCTTGCGGTCCATCGCCTCTAGAGACACGATGGCCAGATGCGACACCGGGTCGCGGTAAACACCTGACATGAGTGCGTGTGCGTGTCCCTAAAATTTATCCACAACGGCGACACGAGAATTCCCCTTGATGAGGTTCCCGTATTCCGTGTGGACAACATGCGTCAGGAGATAACCCAAACACAGACGTCCAAGCAATAAATCAGAGAGAGAGAGAGAGGAAAAAAGAGAAGAAAGGAAAACAGCCATGGATTGGGCAAAGCCGACAAAGGTACGCACCATCAAGGAACCCAGAAAACACAAAAAGGAACCACATAACCACAGTAAACACCACCGAACCGCGAAATACTTGCAAGAGAAGTCGACATACGAGATACACTCAAACAGTCGCTGACTCTGACCACGGCAGGTGATTGCCAAACAGCAGGTGCTGCACAACGTTAAACTTTGCCAGGACCTCCGCAGCGTACATCTTTACCATACCAGTGTAAATCTTCCGCCAGCTTTCCACCCCACTGATATTGTACAGCATGCTGCTGTGCTCAAAGAAGGGACCCTTCTTGTTCTCACGGACCCACGCAATCTGTGCAAAGTAGAGGTAGTCATCGGCGTGCCGCTGCACCTCCTTCGCCTCGCAGACGTGCTTTGGCAGAATTGCGCCGTACCCAACCCCTTCGCCGGCACCGCCCGTTTTGAGTGGCACCTCCTTGTCGATGAGCTGTGAGGCACCGAAGATGAACGGCAGGTGATGGTAGTCGTCGAGCCCCCACACCCCGTGCGAGCCGGCAGGCTCGAGATGGTAGTGCTTTTGCAGCCGCCGCATCAGCGCCATGTAGGCACCGAACACGTTGAACACCACTTCCTGCCGCAGGCAACGGATAGAGACCCTGTCGGCAGCCGTCACCGGCGGCGGTGGCGCCACCGGCAGCGGTACAATCACCGTTGGCTCCGCGTGCAGTGTGCCACCGGCATCGCCACACTCCTCCAGGCAGATCATCAACACCAGGAAGAAATGCAGCTCGTGCCCCGTGCCGTAGTCGATGCGGGTGCTGTTGCCGAAGGAGTCCTTGAGGTACTCCGCCAGCTCCACTGCGAGCCCGTGCTGCAGCTCCACACTCCTCTCGCCGTGCCCAGCCGGCAACGTCGACACCAGCTGTTGCATCAGCCCGACAGCGTCCTCCACCAGGCGCTGGTGAAAGACGCGGAACGCCTTGTTGCCGAACCGCTGCTTCTTCATGTCCTCTAGCGGCACCTCGTCGATGATCTTGTGAAGGTGCGGGAAGAAGCTGTCAAGGAAGAAACGCACGGTTGGGTGGAACTCCTCCGGCCTCTTCGACAGTCGCGCGCTATGCGGCGTCCCCTCGACAGCCTCCGCGCAGGCCTGTACGTACGCGATGATCTTCGCGAAGGCCGGAGAGTTGCGGAACGGCTCTACCAACTGCGGCTTCTCCACAATATGCTTCCGCGGAACTGCGGGGTCGTCGCTCGCAACAGCTGTGGCGGCGGCGGATTCCTGCATTAGCGCAAGGGAGAGAGAACAAAGGGCCTTCTTTTTTCACACTTGTGGAGTAAACTTCCCTCCGTTAGGTTTTCTTTTTTTTCCCTGCTTCGTTTTCCTTATACCGTTTTCTTTTTGTCCTGTGGCTCTCGCCTGATCTTCTTGCTTCCCCTCCTTCACTGCTGTGTGTGTGTGTGTGTGTGTGTG